GCTGAACAAAGAGTGCCACGTATGAACCTGTCAGGCCGCTGAAAAGCCCGTCACAAATTAGGTCTTATCAGTAGCTACACAGCCTCCTCGGCATGAAGGCATCAGCTGAAAGAACATATGAAGGGATGAATATGATTTTCTTTTTGAAACTTTTAACAATTAACTGATGTTGCAACTTTCAAGGAAATAGTCTCCTGTTCCGAGATGAAGGAAGGAAAATAAAAAGTTACTCTTCAATGACTTACAGAATGGAGCCCACAGAGACATGGAAAAGTAAGAAATCCTAACAAAGCTGAGGATGATGCCTGCTCCTTAACTAACATCGTATCTTTGGCTCACAAAGGTTGGTCAGCTTGAAGCAAAGGTGGAGTATCTGCTTCTTGCTAAACCACATTGCTTTCATCAGGTATCTGTCAGATCGTGAATTTTACACAAGGGTAACTTCTTGCTGTTGTTATTGCTGTTTGTGAAGCTCACCACATCAGCGCATTGCTGGTCAGAAAGAAGGCTGAATGAGCAAAGAGGTGAGAGGTGTGACCAAAGGCTGTAAGCTCCCAGTAACCACAGCAAAGGGAGCAAACGTTGGGGTGAAGATGGTCACAGATACATGCCCATGTTAGTCTCTGTCCATTAGTTACACGTGACTATGGGCAAAGGCAGGGCTACATTATTTTTTTGACTGGCCAGCAGCCTAAGGAGTCTGACCCATAGTCTTTGATACTAGTGGCCAACAACTGACCAAGTGCTTCCAAGTGTTTGGGGGCATCATTAAATGCTGTGCAGGTGTGTGATGGTGACTTGTTCAGCCCTAAGATATTTGTGCTGTCTTTAAAAAAGTACTTGAGAGACCTTAATTAAGAGGTTTCCAACATGCAAACCCTAAGAATTCATCTTTAGAAAAGACATAATTAATGTGATTACACTATATTTTAGCTTAGTACCTCCCACACTGTTCTTTTTTCATGTGATATGCATAAAGCTAGAAAGTTTCATATTATAGTTCCCTGACACTGTACAGATCAATTCATAGGAACATGACCACATCAATAGCTGTAAAAGTGAAGAAAGAGTCAAGATCAGACAATGCTGTACATTTTTTAGTATGTTGTAATTTTCAAAGAACAAGTATACTAGGCTAAAAAGCATTTTGTTCAAATTTACAGTGGGTCTACTTAAAAGTCAATATTTATCAACTCTTAATATTTGAATTTGCAATTCCAATTCTTATTTGATCTCCATTATTCATTATACATAACATAAAATAATTTTATGATAAAATTAGCTTTTAAATAACATCTATAAACACCAAACAAACATAGAACTAAAGTCCTCTGCAGGGAATGTGACTAACATAAGGCAAGCCACCAGAGATTTACGTCAAGTTTTTAAAAACTGGGTGTCTGCTGTTCAGCTCCTTAAGCTTCTACTTAACTCTTTCCACTCAGGCTATAAACTTCCAACTACAACAGCCACAAAGGCTGAATTATGCCTTGTCAGTAAGTTATTTCTCACACAGTACAGCCCCCCTCGCTCTTTATGAATCAATGCCAAATCAATCCTGATTTACAAATATATGCTGAATAGCCCAGATGAGAGTGGTTCACTTCTTCCAATGACCGGCAGCCTTGTTGCCTTGATGTAGGAAGGCACATCTGAAAACCAACAGCGATGAAACACCTCTTCATATCTTGCTGTGTGCTAGTGGCTTGTCCCCATAACGCATCATCCTGACCAATGGGGAGGAAGGAAGTGCTGCCCCATGGGTTTGGAAGACGACCTGCAAGGGTATGGATTATTGGAATAAGGGGCAGAAAATGGGTGTCGGACTCTCTCTGCCACCCCCTCTTCCACTCTTTTACTGCCTTGTGATGTATGTGCTGGATGATATTAAGAGGTCTGCTGCCAAACTTTGCACTCTCCTCCCCACAAACCCACATTGCAGCTGTACCAGCTCTGCCAGAAACGGGAACCAGTCCATAAAGAAACAGACACCGGGCTAGACAAATGCACCTCAGCCCAGTGGGATTTAATAGGTGACTTCTTTTGGTGTTTGCCAAGGTTGTCCACATATTTCAGATTTTGGTATACTTTCATGAATTAGCCACAAGTATTTGTTAACCTCCTTGCAGAGGAGGAAGAACATAACACCATGAATATGCAATAAAGCAGAATCAGTGGGTTGATTGGTGAAACTCCTGTCGTACTATGCCACCAGCTCTGCCCAATGTGCCGTGGAAGCCTTTGCTTGAAACATACTCATACTTATGCTGGCTCTGGGCACCTTTGTTTTCTCTCTGGTCATCAAGTCTACTGTTTTATCAGCAGGACCTGGATGCAGTGCAGGCTGAACCAGGGGAAAAACCACAAAAGAGCACGTGAGGACCCTAAAGTAGAACTAGTCCTATCTAACCAAGAACTGCTGCAGGCTATTTTGTCAGTGGAAGAGAATTGAATAACAAGCATAAATGCACCTATGAACACTGAATAATGTGCAGCAAGCTGTAGGCAGAACTAACACTACATCCTCAAGGACACAGCCTGTAGGAACTAGCTCTCTTAAAAAGAAAAATACTAATTTTGAACATCCTTTTTACTGACAACTCACTGGTTACATTAACACAGAACAACATAATATGGCTAACATAATGTCACAGGCAATTCACACCTGATTTAGACTCAACCATTAGCTTTTGTTTAAAAACTTCTGAAAATTCAGATGGGGGAAGGTTTCATTAATGTTTAAAGTAAAATCAGCTTTGGGCAAATTTCAGCATTTCTTTGTATAGCTCAGACACTGCACTGTTACACCCTCCATGACACTGAAAAAAAAAACCAAACCAGCCAGGGAAACAAATAAACCCACTCACTAGGTCATATAAAAAGCAAATTGCTGTGTCTGATGAGAAGTACATCTACTCGCAAGGATACTTGCTTTCTTAAAAATGAAAGGAAACACTGTGATACTGGTTAAACATGCAAAAAAGTGTAAGCTTATGCAGAGATCCTGTGTATCCTGAGAAGACATTCATCAACACCATCTCACTCACGTGGCACCTTTCAAAAGCATTCCTGATTTATAACTCATTAGTACTCCTCTGGGCATTAATGACCTGAAGATATATGTAAAAGAAATCTGTGTTTATAAACACTTGTGCATGGGAGTAGCTTCTTCAGAAGCAAATAAAACCATAATCCTGATGTACGGGAAAAAATGTGTAGTCTTCTGGGCACCGCTGTTCCTTGAGGTTTGGGGGGGAGTAGGGTTGTTAATACAAAATTCCCTATTTGAGAGCTTCTAACTAACAAAGTTTTAATGACAAACACTGTAAGGCAATTCCACAGGACACTTTTTGTGGTCTCTCTTTTTGCAGACACAAAGCAAGTGGATGGTGGATTGTGGGAGACATTTAGACTTTCCTCAGACAGGTTGTTAGGAAGATAAAGCACCCTCAAGTCCATACCAATGAGCACTTCTCAGTCATAGCAGTCATAGCAGATTGTACTTAGTGCGCATATTTTATACCAGGCAATTAAATGCAGTTACCCAAATGAATACAGAAGTCGGTTATATATTGTGCATCAATTATCACAGGCAATGAAAGCCATGAGACAAAGAAATTAACACAACATAAAACTAATTCAATAACACAGCAGATTGTTAAGTTAAAATCCTACCCTTTAGATATCTATAACACCACAGACAATGAATTATGACACAGAGTGAAGCTGATTAAATACACCACCGTAACGAGGCTCTGTGGAGTGCCTGGGTCAGCAGCCGCCCCAGGATGCA